CTAAGTGCAAAAACCCTCTAAGTGCAAGAAATTTGGCAGCCCAAGGTGGTTGCACTTAGAGAGAGTTGACTGTATTTGATGTTCTCTACGGTTAACTTCGAAATGGAATTTGCAGAAAAAGATTTTACCAATCCTATTTTTTCGACACCAATGCTATTAAAGAGGAAGTAAATCTTCTGAGCCCTTTCTTTTCTTTTATTACGAGCATCTTCTGTAGTACCCGGAAGTTGTTTTTCGAGTTCTTCATTAACATCTATCTGAGCTTGATGTACGTTGAAAGATTTATCAAAATAGTGCTTGAAACGTTCTGATAAGACCTTTCCAAACGAATAATAGCATTTTATAACGTCTTGATTGGTGATCTCGTTACGAATCTCAGCATTGCTAATTTTATTATACAGGTGAGATATATCTTCCGAATTCTCACCTTCCTCTTCCACAATTTCGGATACTTGCAATTCTTTAGCAGTTAGTTCCTTTATAAGTTTTTTTAGATTGGCAGATTTTTTTTGTCGAATGTTAAATTACCCATCCACGAATCGTCTAATATTTTTTGTTTTTTATTAGAGATGTCTTCTTCGGGAACATCGGTGCGTTTGGATGGTAAAATTCGTTTGATAGTATCACGACTCAGAGAGTCGTTTCCAGGAAGCATATTTTCACTTGTGCTCGTTAATTGATTTTGTATCGATTTTGAAGAATTATCAACATTTGCATCTATAGGGGTCTGATCTTCTGAACGAACTTGCACAGTAGAAGGGGTAATATGCACATTTGCAGGGCTTGTTCCACGATCCTCTTTAGTAACTTGCTTTGTTTTTTCAGAGAGTTCATCTTTTCCAATCAATCCTAGTCTTATCATTTCCTCCAAATCGCCATCACCATCATCGACGATGGTTACGTTAGATTGCTGGGACGCCTCCCCCTTTTCCTTTCAAGTTCGGAAAAAGATATGTAGTTAGCTATGCATTGGCGTGAGCCAGCCTCTGGCTGAGATTCAGAAAAAAAAAAAGATAACCTATTTAATATCTGGCTTCGAGTACTTACTGCAGGAAGCACTGCACATTCTCCAGAAGCAAGTGCGGTTTCTTCTCTAAAAATCTCAATATCGGTGTTGCAAGTAGGACACGTAGGATATTTTGTCGCACCTCGAATAATGTGTTTTTCAAGGCATATTCGATGGAATAAGTGCCCACAATCTAATACCGTAAATGCTTCGAGATTAAAGCCAAGTATAGCTTTATTGCACAGTTTACACGGCTGAAGTTTTTGTATGTTGTTATCATCGGGAACTACTGAAATATCTTGACTTCGCAGGTAATTCAACGAAAGTGCCTCAAGGTCGGTGTTACGTTTGCTCGTAGATGTAGCTGGATCTCTGGATGCTTCCTCGGTCGCCATATGTCAAAGAAAGCGCATTGCAAATATTTCACACCATATCAGCTATATACCCACTCACATGTCACTGACCCAACTCAAATTGGTATTTCATCCGAAATTTCATTAATCACCGGAATTGTACATCCAGAAATTAGAACGAAATATGTTATATGTGATCCATAAATATGGAGATCGCTTTTTCTTTATTAATACAAGATAAAAAAATACATATGAAGCGGGATAACTATCTGCCCACTATTTTTTGGTAATTTTTTTGATCCTTGCTCTCTTACTAGCTGGAGAGTTATCCACACTAATTCGGTCCTTTAATAACCCAACAATTATCCCGATTACCTTTTTTACACTGCTTCGAAGTACGTCCAGATTTTCTTTAATCGCAGTTTTGGAGAGGTTTATTTGATGCTCGCTATTACTCGTGGCGTATATCCCTTCGGGTGTGTATATGATGAAATGCCATTCCATGGCTAAAAAAATAAACCAGACAATTAGCGAAAA